AGTTTCTTCACACATTATTAATAATCTGCTGATTACAAGAGCCATAATATTTCCCCCTTCATACATATATAATTGTTTTTCTTGACTAGAAACCAGTAGAAAATATGAGAAGTCAGTGATTTATTTTGAGATGTTAAACTCCCCATGAGCTGCCTTGTAAGGACTGAGGTTAGATTAGGTTTGAGAACAGTTTCAACTTCTGAAATTGAGGAAAATTGGGTATACTACGGTACTGGATGTAGGGAATCCAATCGCCTTTGAGAAGGCGAAAGCTGCATTCTTTAAATACATTCTGCATACAGCTAAAGTTGCAGAAAGCAAGCATTTAATCCTTTTACCCAACTCTGAGGCAGCAGCAGTTTTCTGAAAAGTTTTAGTGTTTCATTCTACCTTTTTTTTTTAAAAAAAAAAAAAAAAAAAGTTAAAGAATTGTGTTTTCTCCAGAAGAACAACAGCAATTCTGTTTCTTCAGCCTCCTGTAGAGAAGTTAGTTTCTCTAGCTTTCCTTATTTGTGAGAAAGAAATAGAAATAGTATTCCGGAAGCTGAACACCTATCTGGACAAAGGCAATCTTAAGGCAGTAAGATAGGCCTGGCCTTTGTACACACCGAGAGTAATGAATGCCTTTTGCTTCTGTCACCCTTGCCTTAATAAGGGTGTTTATTTGACTAGAATGAATTATTTTTTACATCATCTCCTCACCCTCCTCCGCAAGCCTCACGGGGAAGGCAGGAGCAGATGCCGCTTGCCAGGGCAAAGGAGCAGCAGCTGCTGCTCACGTCAGTCGGGCGTTAAAAACATATAAATACATAACAATAATTTTTAAAACTGCTTAAAGACATCTATGGATCTTGAAACTCCTGATGCTCGAGACTCAAACAGCACCCACTTAGTTCACTTTGCAACTAGCTGAAGACATAGCAGAGCTTAACGTTGACAACATACACGTATATATAACATATGCAGGTATTTATAAATATACATATATGGCGCAGCCGGGTCCTACCTCACGGGGGAGATGAAGGGCAGGCACAGCAGCAGGATCACCGCTATCTCCCCGTACAGGAAGGTGGCAACCGCCGTCCACTGGAAAGTCATCGTGGCCTGCGGGCACCGGGGCCATTAGCGCCTGCCCTGGGGCCACCTGTCCCCCCGCCCCGGGGGGAACTGCCTTTAAAGTGACTTAACCCCAAGCAAAGGGCGGCGGGGACCCCCCTGAGCTCCCTCCCCTCGGGCAGGGCGCCCCGGGCGGGACCCCCTCCCGGCCCGCAGCGGCGCCGCCG